TGTTTAACAGCCATACTTTAGGGCCTACACTAATGTGGTCAGAGGGACTTAAAGGACAGTTTTTGCCCCTTGCCCTCCAAGGTCAACCAAGTTCCAGGGGCCTAATGGAACATCTCTCAAAATGTCCTGTAACTGTGGTGAGTCACCTGTCCTCTTATTTAGGGAGGGCATGGAGACCCTCACGAGATGGACCTGAACCAGTGTCCAGTTTACAAAAAGGAGGGTCAACTCAGAGGAACCATCTCATTCATGCTTCCAAGTGAAGCCAGCCATGGTCGAGCAGAACCTTTGACTTATCTTCACATAGATGGAACTGGTAAAAGAAAGGAGCCAGGAGCTCCTCCCAAGCCCATGTGACCCCTGAGGAACAGATCCTCAAATGACCATAAGTGTAAAAATAAATTGATTTATGTGGGCCAACTGTATGGTCTTAAACACCCAAAAGGAAAATATAACCAAAGAGTAAAGTCATCAGTATATTTCTTTAAGAGTTCAAGGGATTACACTTCCCAGACATGAGGCTTAAGTCTACATAAAAAGTTTATAGACAATTATTTCTCATTGAGTGGAGGAACACAATAGAGGGATGCTTTTGGAAGCCCTTGTCAAGAAATTCCAATGGACTCTATGAACATTTAAAAATTGCTCTGTTCTGCCTTTTTTCTAGTTCCTGTCTAGAACATGTAATGCTAATTACTCTTGCCTTTACTTCTTCACATCACCTACTCACAATTCAAGGGCTTTCTTTTCCCCTTAGAGATAAGAGTTATGCAATTTAGAAGTCTGTTAGATAGACCCACTGAAGGCATACTCCAATTGCTTCACCCTGCGTCCCTATTGAGCATGGAAGAAGCCAGAGCGGTCTGCGTCCCTATTCTCTATTGGCAATTTGAGTAACCCCTTCAGAGGATGGCGTGATAAGAATATGAGGTAGGAATTAGCTAGGCAGTTAGGGTAAAAAGATCCCAAAGAAAAGTAGCCAGTTCCTTGGCCAAAAGTCAAAATGTCCTTGGGACTGTTAGCAACAAACTCTGTTCCAAAGGCCAAAAATGTCAAAAGTATTTAGGAGCTTGTATCCAATCCTTAAAAGATTTTAGGGTTACCTCTTCAGAGGGGGAGATGTGAGAGTACCCAAAAGCCCCATAAAAATAAAGAAGAAAAAAAAAAAGAAAAAGAAATAAGTGATGGGGAGATATGGGAGCTGATGGGAGTGGGCATGGATTTGATCAAAACACCTTATATGCATGTATGAAATTCTCAATAAAGTTTTTGTAAAAGTTTTAAAAAAAAAAAAAAAACTGGGGGCCAGAGGAATGGCTCAGCAATTAAGAGCTCTGGTTGTTCTTGCAGAGGACCCGTTTTCAGTTCCTAGCACCCACATGGCAGCCAACAAGCATCCTTAACTCCAGTTCCAGGGGATCCAATACCCTCTTCTGGCCTCCTCAAGCATTGCATGACCAGTACACTTACATACTTGCAGGTAAAACTCATACATATAAAATAAAAATAAATAAAATATTTTAATCCCCAAATACTCTCGTAATGTTTTAAGTTTATGATTTTGTGTTGGGCCACATCCAAAGCTAGATCACATGAAGCCTGTGGGCTGCAGCTTGGACACACCTGGACCCACTGATGGATTCATAAACTGAATGAAAAGACTATTAGAAGGTGGTAGAAACCTTTGGAGGTGGACTGGTTGGAGGAGTTCCTGAGGACACTATCTTGCCCTTACCTTTTGCTGTCTCTTATTATCTGGCATGCCATGAGGTGAGCAACCCCTTTGGCCTCTGCCACAGGCTCCCTGTCTCAGTGTGGCAGAATAGAAAATGGAGAAAGTGACATCAATATTAACATGTAAGAGTGCTAGATGGAGCTGGAGAGATGGCTCAGCACTTAAGATCACTGGCTGTTCTTGAAGAATTAAGTTCAAATTCCAGCACACATGGCAGCTAACAACCATCTGAAACTCCAGTTCCAGGGGATCTGAAATCCTTTTCTGTTCTCCCAGGGCGTTGCACAACACAGATGCACTTACATACATGTAGGTACAACACTCATGTACATAAAATAAAAAATAATATTTTTAAGTGTATTTTTTAAAAAAGAATGCTAGAGAGGAGGTGGCTCAGTGGTTAAGGGCACTTGCTGCTCTTCTAGATGGAAGTTCAGTTCTCATTACCCACACACTGGGTAGCTTACAACCATGTGTAACTCCAGTTCCAGAAGACTGACACCCTCTTCTGGCCTCCATATACACACACGCAGGCACACACACACAAACTTAAAAAAAAGAAAAACATCTTTTTGTTGTTGTTGTTGGTGGGTTTTTTTGTCTTTTGGAAGCACCCAAGTGCTGGGACTACAGGCGTGCACCACCACACCCGGCTTGAGAAACATCTTTTTAAAAAGATTAACATATAAAGCTGGGTGTGCTAGTGCATGCCTGTAGTCCCAGCACTTGGGAGGCAAGGCAGGCGGATCTCTGTGAGTTCAAGGCCAGCCTGGTCTACATAGTGAGTTCCAGGACAGCTGGGGCTACAGGAAGACCCTGTTTCAAAAAGACCAAGAAAAAAAAAAAAAAGATTAACATACAAAAGAAATCAGTTGGCAGAAAGACAGGAAGTCTTTCTCTTCTGCAAATGGGCTTCATGCAACAAACAGCATGCTCAACAAAAAGCCTGCCATCTACAAATGTAGGAAAGGCAGGTACTATGTAAATGTCCTATAAAAAGGGTCACAGGACTCATGGTCCAGCAGTTTTGGGCCTTTTCCCTCAGCTCAGTAGTTCATTCCCATTCGTTCTTATTTCTAACCATGTGTTCATGGTCTAATTCTTTGCAACCGACCAAAGAACCTGGACAATTTAGTAGGATCCTTAGGACTCTGGTCCACACCAGTAACATCAGCTACACAGAGACCCAGAAGCACCAGAGCCAACTATCAACTTAAACCTGTGAAATCATAAGCCAAAACAAAATTTTAAAATAATAGCCTTTCCTCACATATTCTACAAATACTTGACTTTGTATCTAGAAAGTTAATCTTCCACAACTCATTCTTCCCTGGAACTCCTTGGTTCAGAGGAATCAAGGGTTACAGTGTTACAGTAGTGTATTCTCTTATCACTATTTCCTCTATAGGAGTCCAAAGTGACACTTCATTCAGTGATTTGCAAAATGCTGACTTGCAGGCCAGTGTTACATGCAGAATTCACTAAATTTACCGGGGGGGGGGGGGCACTGACGGGACATGGGACAGGACACAGACTTAGCACCATGAGCAACTAACTGGTATCAACTTCCTGCCCATTCACCAAGGTTTGTGTTCCCCCCTCCCCTTATGTATGAGTGGCTGAAATTAAGATTGTCACCTTGACATGTCCCAACTCAAAAGTTTCTAGGAAAGAATCAATGATAAAAAGGAAGACAAAGAGAAATTAAGTGGGATGAAAAATTAAAAAGGCCAATGGAATTTGGCAATGAGGATGCCATTCAGTGAGCCTGTGGCAGAGATGGCTGCCCACCTTATGGCAGCCAGGTGCAGGCACTTCTGGAATTATTCTAGCAACCTCTGAAGAATGGGCAGAAGCCAGAACTACTGATACTAGCAATATTAGCATCTTAAGGTAGATTTTAAGTCATGGATGCAATTTTGTTTATAAAGTGCTTCCTTTTTCTAGTGCTGAGATTAAAACCCTTATTTGCTAGACAAAATCTCTACCACTGAGGGACATTCCTTCCCCTAATGTATGTGTTGGGACTAAACCAGGACTTTGCACATGCTAAATAAACAATGCATTCTATTACTGAACTACACCATTAGCCTGATACTTTTTCTTCTTTCTTTTTTTTTAGGACCGGTTCCATTATATAACCCAGACTAACTCTGACCTCTTCATCCTCCTGCCTTACTCAGGTTCTTGTGCTGAGAGTACACGCCAAGTCACCAAAATTAAACCTACTTTGATTTAAAAAAAAATAAAGCAACACATACACGATTGTGGAGTAACCTGTGATTTAAATGTTATGAAATTTTCCTTATGTTTCATCTTGGCATTATCTCCTGACCCTTGCCAACTAGACTACTTACTGTCTAATAAGCCTGATTTTATCTTTTATGCTTAGGCTAATCTCTACCCACCTGTTCCATCTGTACAAACTAGAGAGCCCTGTAGCCTTAACTCTTAAACGCCATTAATCTTCTCCAAGTTATCAGTTTTTGAGGGCTGACTTAACTCTGACTCATTTTACATCTTTTCAACTCCTCCGCTCCCCGCTCTCCTTCTTCAGTGCCTAGCACAAAGCAGCGGTAGAATGAAACATCTTTCTACGTGGTGACTCAAGACTGTAACCCTAGCGCTGAGGCAGGATTGTCGTGAGCGCGATGTGTCAGTCGGGGCTACACAGTAGCTGAGGCTTTTGTGAGAATCTCAATTTTTTTAAAAAACGGAAATAGTTTACGAAGACGCTCCACGTAGAGTAACTTGTTTAAATGTTCACAACCCAGAAAAATGTTACCCAATCTTAGAGATTAATAAATTGAGGCTATTTACGACTTCTGGTTGGACACTACATCCCAGCAAGGCCTCAAAGGCTTTTTATTGGAGCTACAAGGCGAAGTGGGGTCCGCGACTATAAGCCTTTCTGAAGATCCTCAACCAAGAGAACTCTGGAGACTTCGGCTATCCTGCAAGGGTCAGCGTCCCACACTGAAAAGTACCTAACAGCCCTGAGAAACTTTTCCTGACTAGCGCCTCCAAGAAAAATCAGTCCACGGACGCGCACTCCAAAACACAGAGTGGATCCACACCTCTTTCCACCAGGGCTCAATTACCCAGGAGAAACGCAAACGCCGACCCCCTGCGGCCACTGCAGCTGCTTTAGCAGGCAAGAAGAATCAGGAAGAGGAAGCGCCAGCCCACACGGGCGTCTCTGATTGGCCACGGCCTCCGCGTGGACTGCTGGAACGTATGGCGTCACTTCCGCCGGACCGCCATCTTGTTCCCAGAGGCAGTTGGCGGAAGAGACCGCCCTCCCTTGCCACCGGCTCTTACCTTGCGTCCGGAGTTCTCGCCGCCTGCGTTTGGCCGTCCGCCCTCGGCCGGGGATCTGTGTGTCGGCGTAGCGGTTGCTGTCCCTCGCCCGGCTGGGGCTCAGTGCGGTGGGCTTCCTGCCCCTACGGCCTTCCATGGAGTAGGTCCGGGACCGTTGTCCCGAAGAGCGCGATCGAGCTTGGCCCCCCTCCCCCGCCCTCCTCCCGCCCTCCTTCCTGACGCCGCAACATGGCTAACAACTGCCCGGCGCTGACAGGCAACTCGCAGCCGCAGCACCAGGCGGCCGCAGCCGTAGCCCAGCAGCAGCAGCAGCAGTGTGGCGGTGGCGCCACCAAGCCGGCGGTGTCGGGCAAGCAGGGCAACGTGCTACCGCTGTGGGGCAACGAGAAGACCATGAACCTCAACCCCATGATCCTCACCAACATCCTGTCGTCGCCTTACTTCAAAGTGCAGCTCTACGAGCTCAAGACCTACCACGAGGTGGTGGACGAGATCTACTTTAAGGTACGCAGCCTCTAGGCCTGGGGTCGGGAATAAGTTCGGAAGAGGGGGATGAGGAAACTGCTGGAAGCGTGTCCCCCCGCCCCCACTCCCCACTCCTCCACCCTACCCCCGAGACCTGAGAATTTGCGGGGAGGGAGAAGGTTGTCGGAGAGAGAGCTGCGGCCGGTAGCTGGTCTGGGACCGGTCGGGCTGAGGCCGCCCTCCCCTTTTTCAGATTTTTTTTTTTTCTTTTTCTTTTTTTTTTTTTTAATGAGCGTGGAGAGCCCGCCACAATCTCTCTCCTCTCCCAACCTCCTGCCTATCCCAAGGGAGGTGTTAGGCAAGAGGACTAGGGGGCAGGAGAAAAGCGTTACCCAGGAGCCTTTCCAAGTTCACCATTTTAAAAAGGACTCCTTTTGACCTGGGTCGAGCCAGCGCCAACTTGGTGCTTCTCCCCCTCGCCCTCCGGCCAGGGCTAGTAATGACTTCAGTGTTGGCCTGGTGTTTTTCGTTAACTATCCAATCCAGACAGAAATGTGGTCAAGTGCGAGTGTGTCGGGTGGGGTGAAAGGTTTGAGGGTGGAGTGGTGTGCCAGTGCAAAGAGGTGTACAGAAGGCCTGGAAATTTCCCCAGCAGGAAGTCAGGATTTGGAGGACTCAGCCACCTGTGCATTGTCCATAATTAGAATTATCTGGGCCCTGGGCTTCTGCGGCAGGGTCGGTGCTGGCTTGGCTGTGCTGTGGAGCTCACCTGGCGCCTCCTCACTGCACTCTTGTCTCAGTTCTTGTTTCGTTAGCAGGATTGACTCAGTCTTGCAGCGAGGCTCGGAGCAGCCCAGGGTCGCAGGTAGAGGTATGCACTATTAATCATGCTCAATCACCATAAATGCATTTCCCTGGTTAAATGAATGGCTAATTAGATTTTTTGGTTTGTTTTTGGGCCATTGATTTTGGTCTTTGCTAACTAGGTAGGCAGGGTTTCCCCACTTTGCTGCAAATTGTATAGTTAAAAAAATATATTCCAGGCCTCCAAGGTTAATTTGTATTTTAAAGAATATTCTGAACAGTCTTTAAACAGTTCAGCTAGAGTATCTACTATACAGTCTAATTTGTCTTGACACTTAGAAGCTTGGAACAGACCATGTGAAATATTTTCTGTCATCCGAATGTACAGGTGGAGTTGTTAATAAAAGGACAATTTCTATGTGTTTGACCTACTTTTCTCCTACTTAGATTAATAAGAGATTCTGAGATGTTAGTTGCTTTCTACAGAAAGAAAATCTTGACTGATAAACCTTAACTTTGGGTATAGCGAGTACTCAAGTTTTGTATTTTTTTACAAAAAGCCTTTTGTGGGTGTAGCTGAAACTAAAGTAGGTTTTTTTTTTTGTTAAGCTAGCTTTTAAAAAGGTAAGGCCTTTTCAATGTGGCTACAGTATGGTGAATAATAAAGCTTATTTTACAGTTAACTTTGAACATTGTAAAAAATTGGTCCCTGCATTTTTACAGCAGGTCCTGTTTTAAAACATAAGTGTTTCAAGTAAGGTTCAAATGTTGTTTTGAAACAGCTTATTCTACCAGAAAGTATGTTTAACTTCAATTTTAAAACTAAAGACTCAAGGAGAACATGTACTACTCTTGCAGAGGACTCAAGTTTGATTCCCAGCCACCCATATTGAGTAGCTCACAACCACCTGTAACTTCAGCTCCAGGGGATCCAGCCCCTCTGGGCTCCGCAGGCTCCTGTACACAGGTGCACACACATAATTGAAAAGTGAAAATCTTAAACAACTAAGATTTAATATTTGATATTAAGCTGTTTGGATCACATAACCATTGAAATGTGTTCTAATTCTGTACTTAAATTTTGTATTGTGTTCCCTCTTCACTTCGGAGAGTCTTTAAGGCATTGAAACATTTTTGGGCTGGGTTTGTGGCTCAGTGATAACAATACTTAGCCACCATGGGCAGGGCCCTAGGTTCAACCCCCACAAGGGGTGGAGGTGCTCATGGCTCATACAAAATGGAGGCAGGAAAGCACTGCAGGAGCTGAGCAAAATAGTGCAGCGCTTCCATTTAAGTGTAGTTTGGGGTCTAAAGCCACTGAGAAGGATAAAGTGTTACCGTGTATGGGTAGAAATATACTTTTGAAATAAAGAGCAAGGATTTTGTTTTAAGGAACAAAAACAGATCTGATCTTTTTGACTTACAGCTCTTAAGAATTCATTTGCTTCTGTTTTTAGGCAAAACTTTTTATGGGGTATTCAGTTTAGGTGATACTGTATCTTTATATTTGCTGTATATTAATGACTTCACACTTAGTTTCTTATATAAGTTATACTCTAGGAAACAATTGGTTTGCATAGTTAGACCAAAATGAATTACAAGAATGATTTCCCTACGTATGGACTTGCGATTTTAATCTTTAGTTGAGAATGGATTTGATGTAAATTCATCAAAAACTAGAAAATAAAACTAGAAATAAAAGTTGCATACTTTTGCATTGGAAGTAACATTATTTTAGCAAATTTACCCTTCCCCCTGCCTGTGCTGAGCATCAGTAGCCTTAGAAAACTTTGTTTGCTTTATTTTATAATGTCTATTTAAATTCACTGTAAAAGTATACCATTAGGAATATTTTAAAGTTTTTTTTTCAAGTTGGTACTCTAACTTCATTAATACTTTTTTACCTTTAAGTAGAAAACTTAAACTCATTTGAAAATGGGTTTTTATTTTTAAGCAACTCAGTGAAATAAAAGTTGAAACTGTCATGTTTTTCAAATGTATGAAAGTGTAGAAATTCCAAGCTAGTTTAGTGGGCTGTCTGCTCTGTAAATGGTTTGGGTTCTGCTGAAGTCTGGTGGGTTTTGTTGGTATTCTTTAGGTATTCTGAGCAGTTTTCCCAGATGCTTTATGCCCTTAGTGTGAATGTTGTTGATAAGGTGAATACTGTTGAACCAGTGCCTGGGTACTTTTGGAAGAGCTGCTGCTCTATTACAAACTTGATTAGGCTTTAATCTAATCAGACTTTTACAAGATTCAAAGTGAATGTTTGTTGTGTTCCTCTTTTCTATTTTCAGGTCACACATGTTGAGCCATGGGAGAAAGGAAGCAGGAAAACGGCTGGCCAGACGGGGATGTGCGGAGGGGTAAGTAGAAGTACGTGCATTTTTTTCAGTTTTTCTGTCTGCTAACTCACTTTGTAGGAAAACAAAATGACAATTCATTGGCAGGTCTTAGAATTTTTTGAAAATGCAAATTCAAGTCTCCAGTGAATCAGGTTGGGGAAAGTATCAGTGTTTATACTTTATTTGTAGTTCTAGGTCATGGTTATTAGTACATAAAAGGATCAGTCAGTGGGTATTAAGTATCTGTTAATTATATCTTTATTAACTGTGTTTCCCTTTAAAGGTTCGAGGTGTTGGAACAGGAGGAATTGTTTCCACAGCTTTTTGCCTGTTATATAAACTCTTTACCCTGAAGTTAACTCGAAAGCAAGTGATGGGTCTCATAACACATACAGACTCTCCATATATTAGAGCCCTTGGATTTATGTATATAAGGTATGTGTGCATTTATCTACATTTTCAAATACTCTTTCATTTTATTTCACGTAAGTTTAATGATTTTTTTCATACTTTTAGGTATACACAACCCCCTACAGATCTGTGGGACTGGTTTGAATCCTTCCTTGATGATGAAGAGGTATGTCAGCAAGGGTAATAATTAGTTTTCTTCTAATTACTCTCAGTATTTTTGATATCTTATTTATTGGGGGCTTAATGTTTCAGAATTTTCTGTAAATTAATTTCAGTCATACTTTTGGAATACATATCTTTACTAAGATGTGATGGCTTTTCTGTATCTCGGGATAAAAGTATTGGGTTAAAATTTTTAAGTTATTTAAATGTGCTATAATTACTTGAGTTTTTCTCTTCCAAATTACACTCTGCACTGTATTAATCCCAACATCTACAATTAATAGTGACTGTTGAAGGTGGGCATGTTCAAGATGGAGGTAATACGAGATGTGAAAACAGAGTAATGTAACTTTTTTAAATTCTCTGGAACATCATCACTGTAGGGGGTCTTCATTATAACCTTTTCCAAACATCATGTTCGTATTTGTATAGAAGGGCAGAATTAAAGAACTGAGTGTGACAAGTGATGCTCCTGGTTTTCCTTTTTTGTTTTGAGGTGAAGATTCACTGTTACCAGGCCAGCCTCAAACTAGTCTTCCTGCCTCAGCCTCCTGAGTAGCTAGAATTAGATAGACAGGCATTTGCCACCATGCCTAGCTAAGTCTAGCTTTCTGATTCAATACACTACACTTTTTTTTTTTTTTTTTTAAGACCAGGCTTAAAGCTCAGTGGTAGAACACTTGCTTGGCTCTGGCCTCGATCCCTGGCACTGCCAAAAACAACAAGAAGTTTCTTTTCCTTAAATTGGTAGTTTAGATTCTAAAGAATTCTAATCTGTTATCCAAGCCAGAGAGATAGATGCTCAGAAAGGGTAAATTTAGAGTCATCTGTATTGATTGAAGTCCAGGGTAACAAAGTATCCTCAGTTATATGCTGTATTACTCACACTGTTACCACTAATTTATATTTTAGTTTATAAAGTAGACTTTACTGCTGCCTCGGTAGTCCTGTTTTAAGACATTTGTTTGAAAAGCATGCTTCTAGTGAAAATCTTGTTTTTTGTTATTACACACCTAAAAAAACAACAACAACTCATGGGGCTGGAGAGATGCAGAGGACCTGGGTTTGGTTCCCAGCACCCACATGGATGCTCACAACTGTCCAACTGGTACAGTTCCAGGGGACCCAACTCCCTCATCTGGCCTCCACAGGCATTATATGCACAGTTGCACTTACATACAAGCAACACACTCATATATATAAAATAAATATAAAATCTCTGTAATGTAGACATAGAGGGGTTTGGGGGTTTTCTTTTTTATTTTGTTTTAAGACAAGACCTCATGTAGCTTAGGTTGGCCTCATCTATAGCTGAGTATGACCTCAGACTACTGATCCTCCTGCCTCCACACACAGCAGGGTTTTTTCTTCTGCCCTATTTTTGCCTGTTTGCCAAGCTCTTTAATAATTCAGAAGATCTCACAGTGTTCTAGCTGAGAATCACAATTGTTAAACTTTTCTCTTACTTACATGAGTTTTTTTTAAAGCACTTTGTGTCTTAAATTGTTACTTTTTATAATTACTAGATTTGTTTTGAATGCTTCTAATGAATCTGTTTTTTATTGTGTTTACAAACCTGAGGTCCTCTATTTAAGCTAACTTATGTTTTCTTCTTTAGATATCTGCAGCGATTATATTTGGAAATACTGTATATCTGAACACTTAAATGTGTGTGAGTGCAAGCAGTTTTACCTTTAGCTCTTGTTTTCCTGTTTAGATAACAAATCTCACTTTCCTTGTGTGCTTGCACTATAGGTTTGGGACTGACAATAGCTGACTAACATGTCCTGAGCTGTGAGAGGGCATAGCAAGAAGGCCTTCATGCGGTAATGACCCTTTTCAGAGACAATGGTCATCATGGATTATGCGTTTCCAATTATTTGTTCATTTATTTGTTTTGTACATAACTTTAAATTAGAAACCTCACTGCTTCATGGCAGTTGGTTTGCTATTGCTTCCAGTTTTAGAAAGGCTTCATTTTGTATGACAGCTGTTAAAAGATAACCTTTAGACAGGAGTTATCTGAAGTAGTTGGTGTGTAGCTAGGACTCAGTGCTAGGTATGATTTGTGCAAATGTGTACTCAAGTGTAGGTATGTGGAATGTAAATTTAAATCAGTTGTTCCACCTAGTTTACTAATATAAGGGGCTTTTTCATATTTTTGTTAGCTGAGTGAAATCGGTTCCTTTATACCCAAGAGGCTGCAGGGTTTGTTCTCGCCTGCATGTACACTCCAAGCCCAGATAGTCCTCTCATTCATTGACAGATTAGGATACAAAAATTGAAATTTTTGTTAGTTTTTTTAATTCTTGAGATTTCAAAGATGGTAATTTTTTTAGTGCTCCTGTATATATTGAAACACTTTTTTTTTTAACCATTAGGGTGTCTTTTATGTTTCCTAGGACCTAGATGTGAAGGCCGGTGGAGGCTGTGTAATGACCATTGGAGAAATGCTTCGTTCTTTTCTCACAAAACTTGAGTGGTTTTCTACCTTGTTTCCAAGAATTCCAGTTCCAGTTCAGAAGAATATTGATCAGCAAATTAAAACTCGACCTAGGAAAATCAAGAAAGATGGAAAGGAAGGTGTTGAGGAAATAGACAGACATGTTGAGCGCAGGCGGTCAAGGTAATGTAACAGATATGTTAGCCTAAGAGCTGATGATTCTTGCAAGTCAATGACAAGTTTTGTAAGAGATTCTTTATAGTGTTTTTTTTTTTTTTTTCCCCATCACTGAAAAAATTAGGGCTTTTTTCTTTTAGGGTATTTTCAACAAAGTTTGTGTCTATAAATGAGAATTATTTGTGCCCCTTCTTCTTGTGTTTGACACCAAATTGATACCCTAGAAGGCCTTGCATATATTAAGCAAGCACTCTGCCACTGGGCTCCACCCCAGTCCAATTTTAATTACACTTGATGTTTATGTAAGCTGAGACTTAAGTAGTGCTGACCATTTTTACAGTGTATTTGGTTGATCAGTTTTTTTATTTTGACACCCAGTGACCTGGGAGTGTGTGGTCAAGTGGTCTGCTGGCTCAGCTCTCTGCACCCGAGCCCTTAACAATGTTTATTCAGAGTTCTTCCTTTCCCCTTTTCTTAGATCTCCAAGGAGATCACTGAGTCCACCACGGAGGTCCCCAAGAAGATCAAGGAGTAGAAGTCATCATCGAGAGGGCCATGGATCTTCTAGTTTTGACAGAGAATTAGAACGAGAGAAAGAACGCCAGCGACTAGAGCGTGAAGCCAAAGAAAGAGAGAAAGAAAGGCGACGATCCCGGAGCATTGATAGGGGCTTAGATCGCAGGCACAGCCGGAGTAGGGAGAGACACAGAAGTCGCAGTCGAAGTCGTGATAGGAAAGGGGACAGAAGAGACAGGGATCGGGAAAGAGAGAAAGAAAATGAGAGAGGACGAAGACGGGATCGAGATTATGATAAGGAGAGAGGCAATGACCGAGAAAAGGAGAGAGAGCGATCAAGAGAGCGATCCAAGGAGCAGAGGAGGGGTGAGGGAGAGGAGAAGAAACACAAAGAAGACAAAGAGGACAGGAGGCACCGAGACGAGAAGAAGGAGCCCAAGAAGGAGAAGAAGCACAGCAGGAGCAGGAGCAGGGAGAGGAAGCACCGCAGCAGGAGCAGGAGCAGGAACGCAGGGAAGCGGAGCAGGAGCAGGAGCAGAGACAAGTCCAGCAAGCACAGAAACGAAAGCAAAGAGAAGGTCAATAAGAGAAGTAGAAGCGGCAGCCAAGGAAGAACAGATGGCCCGGAGAAGTCTAGAAAACGAGAGCATAGCCCCAGCAAAGAAAAACCTAGAAAGCGTAGCAGGAGCAAGGAACGTTCCCACAAACGAGATCATGGTGATAGTAAGGACCAGTCAGACAAACAAGACCATCAGAGGAGCCAAAGCGCAGAGCCAGAGAGCCAAGAGAAGCATAAAAACAAAGACGAGACTGTGTGAAGATTTTGTAAAATTGGATCACATTGAATCCTATACATGTTGATTAAATCTGCTTTTTTTTTCCCCCCAAGTTGAAGTTGTGCAGTAGTTACGCACTCTTTGAGCTCCCTGTAGGCTGCATTTTATTTCTTTTGTGTAGGGAAGTGCCTTTGTATCCCATTTATTGCATTGATGTTTTTATCCGGTTGTTGAGTTGATACATGATGCACAGATTGTTCTTGCATTTTTATTGTTTGTTTTTAAGATGTACAGTCTGTACATATGTCCTGAAATGTTTTAATTCCTTGGCATGGTTGCCACGTTGGTTAAATTTGTATAAGGCAATAAACTGCCACTGATTCTATTTTTGTTTTGTAGGTGTGGGATTATGGTTGTGTACTGAAGTTAGCATGACTGTGCTTTTCGTAATAGAATGCTAAAGACTTTGGAAATGGATCTTGAATGTTTACTATAGGAGAATTAAGTGCTTTCAATGTACATGAAGGCAGCAGTTGTAGGATTAACATTCTTGTCCTGTATATTACCTTGGAAGGCTCTTGTTAATATGTTATACTTAATATCACCACAGTTAACTTTAGAGAGAATTTTATAAGAGGTTTAAATTAGGCTGTGATTTGATCAAAAGTCCTTTTAGCATTCTACCTCAAAGGGACACTGTTAGTATGCCTAAAATTTATTAGTTTTCCTTTTCGTTTTGAAACAATACATTGACATAATCTTTTTTTTCCCCTTGAATACCTTCTCAGACGTTGAAAGTACTATATTAAAGAAAATTAATGTGTAAAGCCAAGCCTTGCAGCAGCCCTATACTAATATGCAGTTGGGAGAGGGTGGGGCACGGGAATAGAGAAGCATATTCAAGCCTCAAGCTTCCAAAGCATTTTTATAAATGGAGAATACTTAAGTTATGAAACAGCTTGATATAGTATCCTTTTTTTAAAATTCAAAACTTTTTTTATTGATAATGAAGATTGCTGTTTGAGTTTTTAAACTTAATCTAGGACAGAAGTATTAAAGGTAATGCTGTGCTGCGTTATTTAAGACTATCAGCAAATTATTTGATAGATTGTTCTTAATGACTTGTATTCTGATTACAGAGAACCATCATGAGTGTGGAATAAATACTGGATTAAATCCTTTTTCCTGGGTGTTGACTTTCCCCCCATTTGTAACATTTCTTAAATTATTTTTACTGTGGAAACTGAATGTCAGCAGAGTCACACTTTGTATAGAGGATATCTTAGTGCTTGAGCAAAAGTGAATTTTAAATTTGAAGGTAGTATTCAACAAGATGGTTCAGTGGGTAAAAGTGTGCCATCTGACGACCCAAGTTCAGTCCCTGGGACCCATGTGATGGAAGGAGAGAGCTGTTTCTCAAGGACACCATCTCTGTTGCTTCCCTAAGCACTCACACAAATTGAAAAACTGTAGACTAGAGTTGGATTTGTGGTAATGATTCTTACTAGAAAGCTTAATGGCAGTTTCCTTTTGTCAGTGGATGTTAAGTGTTTCAGGGGCTGGTCTTTTGATTTGTTCCACACCACAGGTGTTTATTGACAACAGCATTATACTTAGCCTGTGTAGTAATATCCTTGTTCTAGCAGCCAACGGCTTGAAAATTGTTAAGATCTACCCACTTATTTTTAGAACGAAAAATAGAAGCCCACAGTGGTGGGTTTTAACCAGTACTAGGTCAGAAAGTGAGTGTTCATGAGTGTGAGGGTATTCCTCTATCAGAGTTTGTCTTTTGGGGTGTGGGGGGGTGTCTTTTTGAGACGGTCTCTATGTAGTCTGTAGCCCCAGCTGGTCTGGAACTCACTATGTAGACCAAGCTGGCCTTGAATTCACAGCTCCGCCTGCCTCTGCCTCCTGAGTGCTGGGACTAAAGGCGTGTGCCACCATGACCAGCCAGAGTTTGTCTTAACGCACTGGTTCTTTTGGCCAGCAAAGTGTTCAATGAGGCAGGAAGCTGCCACATGTGGGCAACATTTGTACCAATTTCTTTTAAGAAAAAATTAAGTGAAGGAAATAATTAAAATGCTATGCTTTTGGTTTGGTTTTGGGGGTTTTTTTGGTCGTTTTTGAGAGGGTCTCCCCAGTAGCCCCAGCTGGCCAGGAACTCAGAGATCCGCTTGCCTCTGCCACCATGCCTGACCAATGCTATGCTTTTTTAAAAAGGGTCTAGTCATGTTTTAAACTGAGCAATAAGTTTGTGTTATGATTAGAAATGAGAAGTAGGCCAGCAAGATGCCTCAGTGAGTAAAATAATTTGCCCCACCAAGCCTAACCTGAGTTTGATTGCTGGAACCCACATGGGAAGAGAGAACAGACTCCAAGTTGGTCTCATAACGCACTGTTGCCCACACAAAATGAAAGTTGAAAAATACATAAGAAACCTTCGGGTAATGAAGACAAGATTTCAATTATGTTGAAAAACTAACTTTTGCAGTGCTGGGGATCTAACCCTGGTCTACAAAAGGAACATTTTGGCAGGTGTGAGCATGTGAATAATACCAATAAGTGTCAAAATCAGAATTTAATATAAAACATCCATCTTAATGCTGTTCAAGCATACTTACGGTTTAGGTTCTCAGTTGCCCCTAAAGTGTTTTTGTTCCCCCCCATCCCCTGTTGGTACAGGGATCAAACCCAGGGCTTTGACAAGCATTCTACCACTGTGACATCCCCAGCTCCAATGATTAGACCTCTGACATTTCTCTAAAAATCCAATAGGGCTTTTCAAATACCTCTGAGGTGACATTTTTCATTTAGGATCACTATCTTAACATTTGTTACTATAAGGAACTTGACAGCATGATATAATCAAGGACAATGAATCATCTCTAACTTCCCATCCATTCCACTTGAATGTGGTAGTCAAAATCCTACTGTTAACTGTACTGTAGCCCACAGGTAAACCCTAGTGAGTTATTTAGGGGCATGCACTGCCCACAGACAAGGTAGGCTTGTTCAAGTTAAACAGCTGGCACTCAACATATAATACAGCATGCGTGCTATGAGGTCTCATAAGGATTAAAAACAAAACGTCCAAGGAAATCCTCGCATTAATGTTAGCTTACTTTGGTGGTGTTTTTTTTTTTGAGATGGTCTCCCTGTAGACCAGCCTGGCCTCAATCTAAATCTGCCTGCCTCTGCCTCCTGACTGCTGGGACTAAAGGTGTGTGCCACCAATCCCAATTCACATTAGCTTGCTTTTTTTTTTTAATTGTTTTCATTATGTGTATGAGTGCTTTGCATGTATGAAAATGCACCATGTGTGGAATGCCCGAAGAGGCCAGAAGAGGGTGTCGGATCCCCTGGAACCGTTGTTAGCTACCATGTGGGTGCTGAGAATCCAACCTGGGTCCTTTGGAAGAACAGCAAATGTTAATGGCTGAGCCATCTCTCTAGCCACACTTTAGCTTTCTTGATCTTCACGTGTCTGAAGCCCGCATTCTTCAAATTGGTTTTCTTTAGGATTCGTTTTAGTTTTTATTATGCATGCAGGTGCATTATTATGAGTGCAGGTGCCCTTAGAGAACAGAGATTGGATCCCCCTACAGCTGGAGTTAGAAGCAGTTGTGAGCCACCTGATATAGGGCCTCTGAATGAGTAGCCAGTGAGTGCTCTTGCCTGCTGAACCATCTCTCCAGCCCCTTTGGTTCTTTTCTGGCCATTCTGAAACTTACTTGAGTTGATTTCATCAGCTCAGATCCCTAACATCCTAAAGTGAAAACAGATGTTACTTGCAGAGCAAATGAAGAGACCTCATCCTCTCTGCTTTGGGTCCTCAGAAATGTTATCACTAGTGCCCCAGCGTTAGCAATAGTGCAGCCAGTTCTGGTACTATTCTGAACTCCCCCCGCCCCCCCAATAAAGTATTCTTTCTCTGACCCCCGCTTCTGGGAAATGAGCTTTGCCAAGCCCTGTGGGGAAACCATTAGTTTGTGGATGTGCCAGTTTATGTATTGGCTCTAAATCTACTCATCATGGATGGCCCTGCCTTGTGATCTGGATGTAGGCACTCTACACTTTTCTTCTTCAGTGGAGAATTGCAGAGGGATGCTGCAGAAGAAAGGACCTTCTGGTTCCTGTTTAACTCTGCATTGTGTAGGAAGGAGCCAGTGGGACACCCAGTGGCACTCCACATCTCACTGAAGGAAGTGAGATGAGTTGCCACAATTCCAAAGGAACCCTCAGCCAGCCTCCCAGTAACTTGGGCTCCAGCAGACAATACTGAGTTTCAGAACCACTGCAGTGAAGGGTGGTCTCGCTAGTTTGACACTCCAGTTCTCCAGCGCCAGGCTTCAGCATCTCGGCAGAGGGCCACAGCTGTATCCTCTCCAACAAAGTTTGAGTCTCAGTCTTGTAATTCCTTCCTTGGGATCTCTACCTCAACCCTATAGGTAGCATTGCTCCCTATATTTTTTAGATCTGTTTATCCTTAGTAACTAATACCCTGTTAGTAGTTAATTACTCGTTGCATCAAACTTTCCCTGGTGAAGCTGATGTGTTTTCTAGTTGATGTTTGTTTTCTATGCCCTGACTGGTCCCTGAATTAGACACAGTGTATTATGTTAGTCACACCCATGCTGACTCATCATATTGGCTGATGACCTCTAATGTCGTCTAGTATAAAGGGCTCAGCCCAGTAAGTTTGCTAGTGTTACCTAAGTGAATCAGACTGGCTCCCTCCAGTTTTGACTAAGAAGTAAATAAGGGGTTAGAGGGTAGATCAGAGGTGAAGTGCTGGCCTAGCCTGTACAAGGTCCTGGGATGAACCCCAGCATTGGAAAAAAAAAAAAAAAAAAAAAAGAGTAGGCCAATCCTTAGAACACTGGACCAGACTTGCACACATGTAAAGATGGGAAAGACATACCACTATACCTAAGTCACTGCCCTGAAGTTGCCTTGCTGGCTCTTTAGATTGGTTGTTTGGGTTTTGTTTGTTTTGTTTTGCTTTTCAGAGTCTAGGCAATGAACATCCTTGTCCTTTCTCCATTTCCTCAAGATGGCTTGACTTTCTCTTTCTTGGAACCAAGAGTCAACTCTGGTTTCTTTTACTATTTTTTTTTTAATTTTTTAAATATTTTTATTTATTTCTTTCAAAATTTTATTATTTTTATTTTATGTGTGTGCATGTATTGCTCGCATGTAGGTAAGTGTACCCATGTCATGCAATGCCCGCAGAGGTCAGAGGAGGCTGTCAGATCCCCTGGGACTGGAGTTACAGACAGTTGTTAGCTGCCATGTGGGTGCTGGGATTCGAACCCGGGTCTTCTGCAGGAACAACCAGTGTTCTTAACCACTGAGCCATCTCTCCAGCCCCTAATTATTTTTATTTTATGTGTACGTGTGTATTGCCTGCATGTAGGTAAGTGCACCCATGTCCTGCAATGCCAGCAGAGGTCAGAAGAGGCTGTCGGATCCCCTGGGACTGTAGTTACAGACAGTTGTTAGCTGCCATGTGAGTGCTGGGATTCGAGCCCAGGTCTTCTGTAAGAACAACCAGTGTTCTTAACTACTGAGCCATCTCTCCAGCCTCAGTATTTTTATTTTATGTATATGAATATATCGTCTTCATGCACATAAGTGCACTCATGTCATGCAATGCCACAGAGGTCAGAAGAGGGTGTCAGGTCTCCTGGAACTGGAGTTAGGGACAGTTGTTAGCCACCATGTGGATGCTGGGAATCAAACCTGGGTCCTCTGCAAAAGCAGCCATTGCCCTTAACAACTGAGCCATCTCTCCAGCCTTGATTTCTTTTACTATTAGCAGCAGAGAATCCTACTTAGAACGGCTCTTCCAAGCATGTCCCTACTTTGAAATTTTATTTATCCTGAGCATCAGTAAGAAAATGGCATATACTTGATTTGACCTAACAAATCAAAAGGTTTTAGATACAATTCCTTTTTCTTGGTAGAAACAGTCTGCCAGCAGACAGAACAGGGCTGGTGGAGGACAAGAAAGTGAGCTGGGGTCAGACATAGTAATGTATGCCTTTAATCCCAGTACTCTGGAGTCTCAGAAGCAGGCTAGTCTCTGTAATTCCAGGCTGACTGGGGCTACAGAGAGACTTTCTCAAAACTAGAACAACAACAACAAAATCTTGAAGTTTCCTACGTTTTTCTGGGCAAT